TTTATTCTAGTCACTGAATAAAAGTCATGAAGTTACAGAGTGCTAAAAACTGCCTGCTGACCCTGCTGCAAAATTTATTAACAGATAACACAGTGCCACACAACCCTTCCAAACATTTCTAATTTGAGAGGACAGGATATGCCCCATTTTAGTAAGAAACTGACGGTGAATGAGTTTCTAACATGACCAGGAGAAAAAACCACCAAAACCAATCAAGGTGCCATTATCCATTTCTGCCTATGTAAGAGTTCAGGCTCTGAAGTTACAATAGGTCCTTTAAATTTAAGGAAACTCATCCTTCCTGCATAAATTACTGAGATTTATCCTTCAAGAAGAGGTTCCATAAACTAGTAAAAATCACTAAAAAACTGGAAATGAGATACAGAAACATCAAGTATTACACTTCTCAAGGATTTGCTGGTTGCTACATATTAATCACTACAGTGTTTTCAAAATCCCTATAGCGTCAATTTCCGAACACTCTGTGACCTCCTTCCTCCTTCATTTTCCTAGTTGAGCGTTATGTAATTGAGGAAGAGATACTTGCTGTCTATGCTGGAAACACACTGTATCTCCCTTGGCCAAAGAGCATCATCTAGAGCACCATCTGGACTCAGCACCTGGATGTGCTGTACAGGCTGACACACTCAATTTTCAGTTACAATTTTGAAAGTCCTACTTTCGGAGACCAGTGACTGATATATGGAGTAAACAGCCTGACATTATATTTGCCAGGGAGGATTTTAAAGAGTAGAAGAGAAAGATAAAAGGACTGAGGCAACCACAACACAAACAGCTGCCCAGAAGCTAAGCCAAAGTCACCAAGGTGACCAGGGCTTGCTGCAGACCAAGCATACAGCTAGCTATTTTGTCCATGATCACACAGCACAAAGCTGCACACTAACATCTGCTGCCAGAAGCCACAGATTGACAATCCAAAACCTTCAACAGCAGAGCTGAAGAGCCTTCTAAGACTGCTCTTCCTTAACAACTGCTATTGTGCTAAATGAGAAATGTGAAGAGTCGAGGTAACGCTGAGTTGTTAGAACATGCAAGGACAAAGATGTTCTCAGCTTAACAGGAACAGGACCATTCACTGGTAAGCTGCAGGCAGCATCGCGAGTAAGAGGCTAAAGGGGTGTCTTGGGTGAGTTCAAAGAGTGGAAACCTGGCTACACACTGAAGCAACATTCCCCTCCCTACATGGTGACCGTAACAAAGCAGTTCTGACCAAGGAGCCAGGCATTGTGTATTTACAGGATCTTCTGCATCTGGACACACAACAGGACGAGCTAGTCAAGAAACAGTAACCTGCAGCACAATCCAAATGAGACAGTGAGGCAAATTTGCTCTTACTTTGTCCAGCCAGAGGCAGTACCCATGGGTGGGAACTCCTCCAGGTTGTTAAGGTTTAGCTGGCTGGGTGGGGATCTGGCAGAATCAAGAGGCACTTCACTCCGCTTCCTTCTCCCTCCGCTCCACGATACATTGTCATTCTTTCCATCTTCCTCTTCAGCAAGGGAACGCCCCAGATCCCGAGCTACCTGCCGGCCAGGGGCACCAGCTGAGCTGTTTCCTTTCCTTCGGCCTCGTCTCACTGGCAGAGCTTCTGGCGTGGCTGTAAGGAAGCTCCCCAGGCTGGCCTTCTGAGACGATCGCTTCTCCCCGTGGTGAAGCACAGGGCTGTACCCAAAGCTCGGGCTGCTACTGGACACCACGCTAGGGAAATCACCACAAGGGCTAGACAGGTTTGACCCAGAAAAGGAAGAGGAACTGCTGGATGCTGCAGCAGGAGAAAAGCTGGTATCTGTGGTGCAGGTAGTCACTGAAGTCCTTTGGGAAAAGAGCTGCACTCGGCTGCTAGTTGCATGGCCTGCCCTCCTTTCTGATCCTGTCCTTTGGCTCCCATGGGCCTTGGAATTAGGTGTTTTAGCAGGAGTAGAGGGTCCATTAGTCAGGATCTGGCTGGTCTGCTCCCTTAAAAAATTTAGCAGAAAAGGCACAAAATCTTTCTGAAGCAAACTAAGAGATACCAGCTTGTCATGGATGTGGTTTTCCTACAAGAAAAGAGGACAAAGAATTAATACAAAAGAAGTTACCTTTTTCTTTCTGTCCATGTACTTAGATTCATTTAAGTGGTAACTGTGGGACTGTGATACACAATAAAAACCAACATGACTTGGTAAAATAGGTCACTGACATTCAAGCAACTTTAGCACTGGTCACAGATCTGAAGATCAGCTTTCACACAAGCAATTTTGGCACAAGTTTTCAGATGCAGCAATTTACTTTGGTCTCTGACTGGGAAACAGTGGAACTGTTCCATGGAAACAGCAGTAATACTCCCTGAAGCTATGGCCAGGGAGAACTTGGACCAACTGGCACCCCTAAACTCAACATTTCAAATACATCAATACTAAAAGCAGTTAATTCTAACAGAAAAATCTAAAATCTGCAGCTTCTCTGTCTTGCAACTTTTCTTCCCCTATTTGTCTATGAATGCCACTTGCTCCCACAGAGGGGTGCTATAATAACTGTTTAAGCACTCAGAGTCCTGCAGTGCCAAATACAAGACTAAAGCTGTTCTTCCATTTCAATTAAATAGTTTTCCTCCTTTAGGCCTCAGAGAAGTCTAAACAGAGACTCTGAAACCTTAAGGTAAACGAAGTTTATACTTGGGAAACTTAAACAAACAAAAAACCCACCACTGACTCAACACATTCAAAATCTAAACAAGTAGTGGTGTTCTTATAAGGGTAAATCTAAACAAAATGAGACTTCATGTTACATGCATAGTTCGAAGTTTTATAAACTTGGTAAAAATTCTTTTGTTCATAACACTGCACCAGGTTTCTGTTTCCTCTAAGTGGGATTCAGCAACATTTGCCACAACAGAAGTTCTCATAGGCAGCAACTTATTCCTTACTAATATTAAAATCACTGCATTAACTCCTGTTAAATTATATATTATATATATAAATTATATATAACATATATATTGTACCTATATATAATATATATAAATTAACTCCTGTTAATTTATATTAATTAAACCTTAATTTTATAAACCTTTATATTAATTAAACCTTGACTAGACGAAAAGTCAAAAAAGCAAACACAGTCTCTGAAGGTGGTTTTCTGCATGAAAGAAGGCAGTGAAAGCATGCCTATGACTGGACTACCACAGTCCTCAACACCTATGCTGAAATTCATATTTGAAAGTGTGAGACCAAATCAGCTTCTTGGAGGAACATGAGATTCCAACACAGGTCAGGGCACAACCCCAGTGAGGTGTCAGAAGGCCACCTCCAGTCTGAAACTGCCACGAAAGCTAGAGCAAGACGTAGCCTACCCTTTCCTTGGGTGCTCCCCTGGGTTTAGCATAGAGGCACAAGATAATTACAGTCTAGACTATACATAAGGTCAGGTACCTTTTGCAGCTTTTCAGAGCACAACCTGCATTCAGTCGTCTTTCTCTGTCCAAGTTAACTGAGGTTTGGTTTCCTCCACGTTTGGGTAACAGCAATCTGTCAACAGCTGCCAGCTGCAAACTTCCTACTTGCTTTCTCATGCTGAAGTAACTGAGTTGCTCCCAGCAGAAAAAGGCAGTGAGCAATTCCCTTGCAAGGGCAAACTTTTCAGCCTCCTCATCCCTTGCCCATGCAGTGCTAGTTGAGCTGCCAGCATCTCAAACTTCTTAAGCACCACAGATCTGCTTCTGCAAGTCACAGTTTAAGAAATACTACAAAGCATAAAGCTGCTATAATCCATTCTTCCCACACACGTTTAGGATGACGATGATAGCCAGCTAACTCATGTGGGTGACACCAGTGAGTTTTGATTTTAACACTAGCTAACACACCATAAGCGGCTCAGGCAGAAAATGCTTTAAAAACCAGTTGTATCTTTGTTATCAGTGAAATATAGGCAGTCCTAGTCCATCCCTGGTTACAATGTTTTTATTTCCACAGGAACCCAAATCGTCCAGGCATTTCCCACCACAAAACTCAGCCAACAAGCACCCTCTCCCAGTCCCAGCAAAGGTCCTCCCCAACATCCAGGAGGGCCAAGCATCCATCCGGGAGGCGCCTTGGCGCTTGCACAGAGCCACCGCCAAGCCCCTGGCTGCCAAGCGCCTCGTCTTTCTCTCACCGCCACCCTCCCGGGCAAGCGGCCCCCCGCGCTGTCACCGCGTTTCCTCAGGACAGACCAGCGGCGCTGCGCTGCCGCCCCTCGCCTCCCCGCGCTGAGCGCCGGCCCCGGCGGGCTCAGCCCCGCGGATGTCAGCGGGATTCCCACACCCGCCGGGCAGCTCCCAGCGTAGATCCCGCCGGCGGCCTCGCCTTCCCGCCGCCCTGCCCGAAGCCCGCCCGCGCCGGGGGCGGTGCCGCCGCTGTTGGACGGGAGCTCGGCCCCAGACCGCGGCGGCAGAACGGCACCGACCGGGGCCCCGGGCCGATCCGCCCGGCTCCGTCCCTCACAGCAGCGCGGACCTGCCGCCCCCAGTGCCGGGGAGCACAAACTTTCCCGCTCGGCCCCGGCCCGCGGCGGCGGAGGGCGCTGGGGGAGTGGCGCGGCGGCGGGCCCGGCCCCGCGGGAGCCGGGGCGCTGGGGGAGGGCGAGCCGACGACCCGCCGCGCGTTACCTCAGCCGGGCGGTAGCCGGGGCCGTGCCGGAGCCACCGCACCACGGCGCTGACCGGCACCTCCTCCTGCAGCAGCAGCTCCAAAACCGCCGCCATTCCCGACCGCGCTCCCGCCGAGCACGCGCACAGCCCGCGCCGGGGGCGGGCCCGGCGTGTCCCCCCTTCCCGCGGGGGCGGCGCCGAGCGGGGATTCCCGCCGGGCAGGCGGGCGGGGGCCGCGCCCCCTCCCCATGTCAACACGCGGGGCACGGGGCGCCTGCGCCGGTCCGTGCGCGTCTTTTCCTCTCATGCGCGGTATTTGCTTCCCCGGCAGGGCTCGGGGCCCGGCCTAGCGGCGGCGGCGGCGCCCGCGGGCCGGGGCGGAGGGAAGGGCAGCGGCTCCCCCCCCGCGGCTCGGCACCCGCCCGCCCGCCCGCCGGCCCCCGCGGCGGAGGATGGCCGAGGACTCGCCCAAGCGGCGCAAAGCGAATTTCAACGAGGCGGAGACGGAGGTGCTGATCGAGCAGGTGCTGAAGCACGAGCAGCTGCTGTTCGCGGCGGGACCCGGCCGCGCATCCCCGGGACAGAAGCGGAAGGTGTGGGAGCTGATCCGCCACAAGGTGAACCCAGTGGCCGCCTGCCCCCGCGACGTGGAGGACCTGAAGAAGCGCTGGCGGGACCTGAAGCGCCGCGACCGCAGCAAGCTGTGCCGCCTGTCACAGGGCTGCGGGCCGGCCGGCCCCCTCCTCGGCCTTCTCCTGGCCCCCGAGGAGCTGCCGCCCGCCCGCCGCCAGCGCCGCTATGGCTCCCTGCTGCCCACTGAGGCCGTGCCCATCGTGGGCGGCATCGACACGCTGGAGCTGCCCGGCGCCGTCGTGGGGGACATGGGTGAGTGCGGCAGCGACCCCCGCGGCACCGCCCCGGACCCTCCGCCCGGCGCGCCCCGCTGTGCGCGGCGGGTCCGCGCTGCCCGCCCGCTGCTGCGCGCAGGGCGCTGCGGGCACCATCCCCGCTGGGAATGTCTGGTTCGGATAGCCACCTTCTCTCCTTGGAAATGCAAGACGTGTACGCACGCACACAGAACTGTGATGCTTTGTGCTGTGTGTCATAAAAGTGCACCAAAACAGCACCCAGCAGCAAAACCCTGTCTTGTAGCAGATGCTGCCCATCCTCCAGCCCTTAGACCCCGCCACCGATCTTCACCGTTGCAGTACTTATTCTTGCCAATGAAAAAGCCATGGCAGCGCGCAGTTCTTGCCAGTACAAAGTGCTGCAAGTACATAACTTACTACATGGCAGAGACGTCGTGCTAGCACGTTGAAGTGATCATCTTCAATACCATTGGATTTCTTGCTATCACAGTGTTTCATCAGTGCTCTTGCTGGTTGCTGGGTGCACATGAAATGAAATAAGCTTGCAATGAACCTTGTCTCTTGGAAACTAAAGTCCAGCTTCTGTGATAGGGCTGGTAAGGAATCTGTAGTATGCAGATATATGGTTAGTTGGTGAATGCATATTTAGGGTTTTCCCACCCATCAAGGTGTATTCTAAAAGCATCAAAGATAACATAGTATGAGTTTAAGAGTCTTGTTTCAAGGACTAATATTAGTGCTTAGTGAATGAGAACATGTTTCACTGACCGCCAAGGTTATGAAGTTTCTCACTGGCTCTCCTTTGATTTTCCTCTTCCCCCGTCTCCTCTAGGGTTTAATGGCAATCCTGGCCCATCTCATCAATCCAGTCTTGAGAAGATGAACCTCAAAGAAGAAATAGTAGTGAAGGTGGTAGAGCCAGAAGAAAGCTCTGAGGACATGGTTGTGGTTTCACCTAGTCAAGAAGAACTGCCTTTTCTGGGGACGTCAGGCGGTAGTTCCTCTGGGAAAGGAAAAGCCAAAACAAAAGGCAGGTCCCAGGCAGACCAAAATGAAATAACTGAAGAAGACTTACTGCAGATTCAGCAGACCCAGATGCAGGTGATCCAGTCTGGCTTTGACAGTGTCAACCACAATCTTCGGCTGCTGCAGCAAGGCATGCAGGATCTGAGTAACAGCATCAGCATCATGGCGCATACGCTTGTTGCTATCAAAAATGTCTATGTGAAAAACAACACTGGCCCGACCACGCAGGCCACTGCCTCTACTCAGACCACAGCTGGGTACCTGAGCCCAGGTTCCCCCCAGATCTCCCCTGCTGAGGACAGAGGTAGAGTGCAGGTGGCTGGAAGCAGCAGCAGAAGCAGCAGCTGCAGCTCCAGCTCCATGTCACAAGAACCAGGTCCCTCCGAGTTTCCTAGGCCCCCCGTGAGAACCATTAAGAAAGAACATCCAAATGGCTGCTACTACTTCTGCTTTGCAGATGTGTAAAAACTTGAATATATGTAAAGTGACTGTGATGTTAGGTGCTGTTGTACGTTCTGCTCTGGTCTGTGACTTTGAAGGAGCACAGTGGACTTGCCTCCCATGTTTTCCCAGTGGGAAACATTTTCGCTATAGGTGGCATTAAACACTAATTACCAGTCTCCTGTTTGTGAACTCTGTTGCAGTGGGCTAATAATGTTCTCTCTTTTCTTTTTCCTCTTACTCTCTTAAAAAAACAAACATTTATTTTGAGTAAGACTTTTGTCTGTATCATTCTTTGTTTCATGTCACCTTTTGAAAAATAAAAGGCATGAGAGTGGGGTAAAAAAAGTAACATTACGGTTGCTGAGCACCAGGAGCTGTCTTACACAAGTTGCTTAGTTCTTTGATTAAACAAACCTCAGAAGTAGTTGGTTTTTTAAGTACTTCCCTTTGCTAATAATTATAAAGTTGTGGTTGTTTGCTTGGCTCCTGTATTTTTTTAAATCTGAGCTGTGCAAGGCATCACAGTAAGAGTTTGAGATACCTGCTTATTCTAGGAATGATTTAGGTTGAGGACTGAGCTGTTGATTCATGAATCTAATCCTCAGAATTCATACAGCATTACTCCACTTGCCTATTGTTCATTCTCAGCTTGTTAAATGCACCTTCTCCCAAGAGACATTTCATTTTACTGCACTAGCAGGGTAGTCTTGTTTTTTGTTACATGATTAAAATAGAGAAATACAGCCGCTCTACTTTGTTCAGTTCAGATGTAGCTGAGGTGCTGTGTTCTTACATCTGGTGTCCATACAGGAGGGGAAACAAAAACACTCTCACCTGCAATTTTGTCCAGTGACCTGAAAAATCATACCAGGTTGACTTCTTAAGCATTTATTACTAACATTAAAGTTCTACAGATAAACTTGGCCTACAGCAAGGACTAGCTGCCTATAGTTTTACAGTTAGTTTGCACAAGCACTCCTGCTGCAGGAATTTAGCAAATACAACTGATGCAGAGAATGGCAACCTAATTGTCCCTCTCCTAGAAGCATAAGAATATGTAATCATAGGGTGAAATACATAATTTTTGCAGTCAGCCTTGACAGAACGCTATACCATAGGAAAACATACATTTCAGTTCTTCACTTCTGCCCTTATACCATCAAGGTGGACCAATTTCACACTCCTGCACTTCAGAAACCAACCACTGCTGCCTACTAAAACGTGAACACAGGGCAGTCAAGGTGTTAGCGTTTCTCTTCAGTATCATAGATGCAGTAAAAGCAGCAAATATCTCACAAAAGTAAAAAGTACACTTGTACAGCACACTCTCAATTGGGATGGATGCCTTGAAGAAAAGGTTCTCTTTTTTAGGTTAACCTTAACAGAAGGAGGTTGTATGTGTTTGCTGGGTTGAAGAACGAGAAAGACCTAATCCTTCCAAGTCAGATTTCTGAGTCTATGTTGTTACAAGCTTTCCAAAGTAACCTGGTTGTTACAAGCTTTCCAAAGTAACCCGGTGGAAGCATTATTTCTCCCCAGTCAATACAAATGTACTCCCTGGAGCAGGGTCTTCTGTATTTTGTTTTCATGGACAAAGAAGCAAATTAATGCCACCATGACATTCCAGGTCAATTAGCAAAATGTGATCTAAACATTACCTGGTCCTTCTGTGACAGTTCGAGTTTGTCCAGGTTGCAACAGCTCTTACCTTTCTTTTGATGTTTCAATTCTTTTTGCAACTGTCAATTCTTGAATGTCACATCCTACAGCATTTCTAGGGAGAGCTGAGGTGTGTCTGCTACACGGCTTTCTCACGTTTGAGTACTGATTTAAATGAACTACAGTGCAAGTACAGAAAAGTGCAGCAAGATCCTAAGAGCAGAATCGGCAGATTGGATCTCCTGTATAATTAAAGACAAGCCAGGCAATGCCAAAAGACACTTCAGCAGGCAGGCAATGACCAGACCTCAACATCAATCTGCTACAGCACCTTTGTTCCAATCTTGCTTCTTTCCCAGTCTGTCAGTTGTACCGCTAACGTATACTGGAGCCAGACCAAAATCTCTCTTCCATTTCTGGTATGATCCACATTTACATACTTTAAACAAGGAAAGAAGCTGAGCTACCTCTCGCCAATACAGTGTGTGCAAATTGGTTATTTCCATCTTCCACTTAATACAGCTGGTTTGCTATTTCTTTACACACCTTTCTGTGATCAAGTGATGATTCTGTTAGAGGCACCAAAAGCACACACTATCCAAAAGCCACGAATTAAGTTTCTGGCTGCTTTTCACAGAAGGTGAAACATCATTTTCTTCGACTGTTACTGAGTAAATGAATTCCCAGTGTATTTCCGTTTGTGTGAAGCTATTTAAGCTATATATAAGTGACAAGGGCTGATGACCTGATCATGAACCTTAATGAAAATACTGCCAGTGATTTGGAAAAAGGCAGAGCTTGCTTTTAATTTGCCTTACATACAAGGCGTAACAGTGGTAGTAGTGAGAAAGAGATCCAGGAAATTTTATCCAGTTCTTCTGGACTTCCCTAAAAAACTTGTTCTGCCTGCAACGAGCAGGCAATATTTGCCACAGCACAGGACTAAGACCTGCAGGTACATAAACCACAAATATAAATTGTGATGATATTGCACTCTACTTTTACCTAATTTTACTAGAAAGATAAATAAAAGGGTCCTGGAGGAAACTAGAGAAACTGGTAGCTTATCACTGCATTTCCCCATAGCACAAGATTCTCAGATTCAGTAACAACTTCCGTTCACTCTTTTCTCTGCTATCTGCCACTTAATTGTATTGTACAGAGGATGACAGGTATCCTCAAGAGGCTGTAAAAGCTCAGTGACTACATCCAGACACCTGATTATCCCCAAAAGAAGTCAATTATAGTGGCCTCTGACTAAATAAAAAACTACAGTTTTGAAGAGAAAAAAGCCAGCAGCAGCTGGCTTTTCAGAACCACCATATTGTTACTTAAATTGACCTGATCTAGCTGTGCCAATCATTTATTGTTTAGATGAATAGGGATAGAAGGGATAAAAGCAAGAACAAATAGAAAGGGAGGATTCTGAGGAGGCCATTTGGGCTTTTCTGTTCTTACTGATATGCAGCACAGGAACCTACTAAATCAGTTATACTTCCAGTCATTGATCCAATCATTCTGATACGCAGTATGAACATCTGATTCATGCTGCAGTAATATCAACACATGCTTGATTTTTGCTTTCTTGTAACAGAGGAAAAAAAAATCATTGCCAAAGTACTTTAGCTGCTGAATTACAGGGTTACAATAGTAAAAAAAATATTGAAAAAAATTCAACTGAAGCTTTATAAATTATTGAATCATTATACAAACACAATTAGGAATTGAAGTTTTGCATGCTGAATGAATATTTTATTTAGAACCAGTTTATAAAAATAAAATACAAAATAATTTGAAAACAAAACTTAAACATTGTACAAAGCCTTGATATGGTACAAATGAGAAAATAAATAATTACAACTTTATGTACAAATGACCATTACAAGGGCATTAACTCTTTATGCTCTTGGGTGCCTGAGCAAACTTAAATGAAATGAATGGCTTAGAAGATTTCCAAGGAGGGGAAGAGAACTGCAATTACTGAGCAAGAGAATTTGAAGGACTCCACATTTGTCTTCCTCAATGGTAAAAAATGACCTTGGAACTACTTTCCATTTGATTTAATCATACTGCAGACTTTACTAGTGAGTATTTGATTTCTTATGGGTTGACAACATAGTATTATTAATTCATACAGGGATTTCACTCTCTGAGGTATTGCCCAGAGATTTTAGATTAGCAGCCATTGGTTGGCAGCTTCAAAAAGTCAGCACTTGTCTGAAGGCATTGCTGGTGATTTTCTTAATTTACTAGATTGGATATTCATAGGAAAGCATTTGGAAACTGGCATCTGTTAGCACAAGCACTGCAACTTGTCTCTGGGCTGACTCTGTAGAAAGAAAGTTAAAAAGCTGGGAAAGAATTTCCACTCTTGCTTTCTAGCCAACGAAAGTAAAGAGGATGCAGAGAAGGCTGCCTGGCAACAATCCAGATCTCCAGTCAGAGAAAAAAGATGTGAAATAGCCAAAAAAATCCCACCTCACTTTGTGTCAAACCTTTATGACCTTGCCTGCCATGCAGCAGATATAGGTTTAAGAGGATTTGAAGTCAGGCAGACCAAACTAATTATGCTGCATCTTTTGGAGCAAGCTATTCTGCTATTACTATAGGTCCTTTACATAAAAGTTAGGTCAAAGATCAAGTGATCTCAAAACAAACATCAAATTAATTCCAGCTGAATTCCCACAGACACTTGTCAATGATCAGGACTTCACACGAGTACCACACTCGTGGTATTGTTTTAGAAGAAACCACATCGTACTCTTGGCCAAAGCTGGCTCTCAGCAGTAATACAGAAAAGTAGAGATCAAAAGGTATGTCACAATAATAACAACAAAAAATAAGTGAGTTTATCCTTTCAGCCCCTAATCAGGGGAAAAAGTCTCAATAAAACATGACCCTACACTAATGTTAATGAAATTTCACCTGCACAAGAAGAGCAAGAATTCCCAAGATCCAAGCTCTTAATGTAGAGGAGGAACAGAAGCAAAATACATGAATGACATATGCTAATATTTGGGTTCGTCACTATTCCTGTTTAAAAGGAATGTGTTACCATCAATGGAGAGTAAAATCAGCCTACATGTTCAAACCTGGATGGCAAGAGTAATTGCCAAGTTAATATATTAGCCTTTGAAACAATGGACTCCTGTGAATTATTCTTTTAAGAAACGAACAAAAATCAACCAAACAAAAAAAAATCCTCAAAGATGAATATTTAAAAGCCTGATTATTTACACATGGTTATTTAAACCACATGAAAATGAGTGATAAAACTTTTTGGCATTTGACTATGTCTTAAGACAGTTCCAGGCAATTATTACATAATCCAGGCTGACTTCTACATAATTTCTCTTTCACAAATGTTATATGGAGGGAAAAGGAAGACTGGCTTCCAGCAGACACCTGAGGTATTCTCGTGTGAGGTGCATGTTTGTGCGATTTGCGTGTATTAGCTAAAAAATGTATGACCTGTGCCTGTGTATGACATGTAGTAGTCAAAGCACTGAACCTCACTTCCTTTTGCCGATGGTCGTGGTTATTGAAAATTGTAATAATCACAAGCAATGACATTTGAGCCACAAGAAAAATAGCAAACAAAGCCTTCCAGTTCACTGCCTACTTGATTAGATTCTACTAAAAGAAGTAGAATAAAATATTATGCCCTGTTCCACAAATTTCAGAAACAGGAATCACAGAATCCTCAAGGCTGGAAAACACCTCCAAGATCCAAGTTCAACCACTAACCAGGCACAGCCATGTTCACCATCCAATGAGCATCCAAAACTTTTACCAGTTGAAGAAAGGAATCATGAATAATTGCGAAAGCTTTCATTTATATAGCTGACAGTTCTCTGACCACTCCTAATAGTGTAAAAGCATACAGAGGACACACCATAGGGAATCATGGTGTTTGTTAACCTAACCAGACCTTTGCTCACTTAAAATAACAAGACAGACATGGTTCTTGTCATGTCACAGGATCAGTCTTGCATAAAAAAATAATATATTCTAGGCCTATAATTAGAAACCAGTTTGACTTTGAGCTCTCTTTTATTCTCCTAATCCTTTTCAGAAAATTACTCTCTCATTTAACATATGTATAAAAACTGGAGGCACATATCCCTAATTTGTCATTAGACCCTTTAAAGAAATTAGAATAATCACTTTCTTCTTACCAGAATTTATGCTTCTTAGTGTTCCATAAAAATGTCCAGTTCTTTATGGAAAAATTCTGTTTACAAGAAAAAGACTACACTGTAAGTCTGACTTTATGTACATTCTCTTTGAAGAGAAAATGGAAACATATTTTTAGGAGTATTAGAGTCAACTGTTGCAGAACGTTATTTCAGTAAGAAGGACTTATGGGAGTTTTGCCCAAGCAGGACTACAGAATCAGGCCTTGTAATGTGGAAAAGACACAGAATTAGGGCATAGGGAAATTGTAGTAGAGGAAAAGGAGACCAGAGTAAATCAAAGCAAAACAGGCCTCGTCTCACTCTGACAAATGAATTCCAGTAAACAGGATGGAATAGCTGACACTGTTTCTATCTATATGTATATACACACATATGTATGTATGTATATATATATATTTCTATATAATATACAGTATCTATATCAGTGTATATGTAGATACACTTACGTACAAATGTGTATTTTTATATATATATCTATAAAATCAAAATTGTGTTTTCCCAGCTGTAGTTAATATCATAATACTACAAATCGTAGATGACCGAGCTCTTGCAAGTCTTTTTCACATGAAAAATATTTCAAGCTATTTTTAAATATATGGGACCAGATTCTCCCCTGTACATCAAGACTGTTTAGTGAGGTATGCAAGAAAGCTTGATCTCAAACATGCAGACTTCAAGATAAGAATATGTCCAGATTTCCCAAGACAGGATGTGGCTGGTGGCTACAAGGAATGCCTTGTATCACTCCGCAGGGGTTTGCCTCCTGTATAATTGTATATAACTAGCAGTGAAGACCTCATAGTGCTCCTGCCTTTGAGCAGTGAAAATTTCTATGCTTATCGATCCTGCTCAAGTAGTAGATAGGTGCCTAGCATCATACAACTTGCCAGCATTGCTTTACTGTATCATACTATCTATTACTTTAGCACGGTTTTACCTAGTAGTAACTGGCATTTGCAATTAATAAGGAGGTTAATTAATATTAATACATATTTTTGAGATTGCAACTTAGATTGATTTTATCATGCAATACTGCAGCACAAAAGTTTGTGTGAAATGTTCAGTGATTTCAAGTTCTATTGTAGTTTTAAGGCTTCATGCCTCAGTTTCTCTAAAAAATGCCCCAAAGTGCTGGCCACAACACAGAAAACACCATAAAGAGGAAATGTGTGTGCAGCATCTGCATCTGCTACATGTCATGGCTCCACCACACTGCCCTCCAAAGAAATGGAGGCTCGAAGAGGACAAAGCAAGAGCTCCTTGAATTTTCTCGTTTCCCAGATAATATCCCTATGTAAGCTTCTGTGCACTATGCAGAGTAACTGTAACCATTTTATACAATGGAGAAAAACCTTCCCCATCCCTGAAAATGTGCTGCAGAAAGCCCTCCATAAACCATTCCTACACACTCTGTGTAAGGGCCACACACACGTACATTGGTGTTTTTCTGCAGAGTCAGTTGCATATTCAAATATTGAAGCTTACAGAGTCCTTAATGATTACAAAGGCCCTCTAGAAATATTAAGCTAATATTTACGTATGAGTTGATCAGCTGACCATTACCTAACTACAGTAACTGATTTCTACCTTAGACTATAGTAAGCAATTCTGTAAACTTTTGAGGGGAGGGTATCAAGCAATAAAAAAATCAAGAAGAGCAGGTAGTTCAAAATAAGTTATTCACAATCATTCCTCCATTTATATCTGCATGATTTTCTCATTAAATCCTCTTGAATCCTCAGCAAAAAAGCAACTGGGGATATACAGTCCTTTTACCTTTTTCTGCACCAAAAGAAGCCTGGGTCATCAATTGTGACTGATATATTTTTCTCTGTTTTGGCATAGCTTACTATTTTTACATTGGCATGTAGTTCAAGTACAAGTGAATTTCTACAGCATTGATTTATTTTACATAGTCATGTCTAACAATGGACAAGCCTGTACTTTGAAGACAACACAAAAAAAACACAAAAACCAACCAACATAACTTTGGTGTTATATTTTTTCTCAGCTGTAAAGTAATTACCTGTTTCTGGATCCTGCTACATTAGAGAGAAAATATAAACACCTCAACTTCAGCATTTCAGGCAAGGATGCATAACAAGTTGGTACTGACTAAAACTGACCATGGTAATGTAGGAATAAGCTTACAAGACCATAATAAATGCTTTGCAAAAATAAGGAAAAATAATCATGGGCTGCCACACCACCTTAACAAATAATTCCAGCAATGCCCAGGGCAAAAACATCACAATATGACCAAATTCTTTCTTATGATATACCATAAGGAAATATGGAAAACAGGAAAAAAAAAGAGATGGAATTTGTTGTCACATTCATCTGTTAGGTATTCACTGAGTGTCTGTTCCTATATGACAAGTATTCACAATTAAGAACTCACATTATGAAATAAAAATGAGTAACCACAAGACCTATTTGTAATAAAAATTAAAAATACCTTTGAGTCTTTGTTCTTGTTCCATATGCACATAAAATTATAAAGAAATAAAAGCAAGCTGCAAGACAAATCATCGGCTGGTTGAGAGATCAGCAGTCCTTCAGTCTTGTACCAAGGTATAAAGGCTATTAGAATTTGTGCATTCCAGAATTTTTTGAGGGGAAATAGAAGATGTAAGTACACAGGAACTAACAGAAAGGGAACTGTATTATTTGTGGTCCATAAATTACAAATGAAAAATGAGAAAGAACGCGTATATATAAGCATATACATATATGTATATATATAAATATTTATATTATATAATTTACCATGAGGACATGCAATTATTGGTATAGCACCTATTATACAATATAATACAAAGGAATAGGACTTTCCAATGGTACAGTTTCTTCAGAAAAAGCAGGTATATCCTACCTATTGCATTCATCTGTAGTGCTTGAAACCTGAATGATATTAAGGTTCCCCACTGTGCTACATAACGTATGGGAAACAATATACATACTCAGAGTAAGAAAGGAGGAAAAAAAACAACACAGTCTGACAAAGCGAGTGAAATTCAGTGCAGCTCTAGGGCAGCTTTAATGCAGCATTAGAATGTGTTAGCTCAGAGACAAAATATTCCCTTTTTAATCCAAAGGTATTCATTTGGCAGAGGTTAAATAAAAAAGCACAGATGCTGGCTGGAGAGGCATATGACTACAGCAAGCAGATCAGTAACTGACAAGTCTCCTGCGCACCCAGAGCCCCCACAACAGGAATAGTTAGGGAGAGATGGCTGCATCTTTCTCAGGTTTGCATTCTTGTGTGTTATCATTCTAACCCATTTTTCTTTTCTGAATACAGCAAAAGGTGCCATGCCTTTTCACTCCCTACAGAGATCCTGTAGGGCACAAGAGGTTATTAAGTAATTACCAAATAAAGTTGGAGGAATTACACACTATGGACTTCACTGAGTGTCAACAAAGCTTGATCAAAACAACATTTGGGTAAAAAAATTACGAGAATCCAACACCAAAAGTATTTCAGATTTCTTTCTATTTTGCTTTGAAGAGCAATATTCTTGACTAGATTTTGTAAGGGTGTTAAGTATATTTCTGTCACCTATAACCTACCAAGTTCACAAAGTAGACAATCTCCTCATCTCTGTTTCATCTTTCATGATTTTAGAAAATAAATTATCAAAAAAACCAAATCTTGGTTGGCAGTTGTCTTTGCACGGTAGGATCTGTGGTTTAGGTGATCCATAACTAATGGAAAAACAAAAGTCAGCAAAAACAAAGGTTCTTTTTTTCAGCTGAATTAAAGGCAAAAAAATAGGTACTTCCATTTTCTAATTATTTTCCAACTTACATTGCATTTTCTTGTAAATCTGCAACATCCAGTGAAGTGCATACATCTCTTTTCTCTCATTTCCTGGACAGGAATGCTTTTCCAAATTCTACCAAATGTAGAACTCCACTATGACTCCCAAAGAAATGTATGTTGTAGAACTGACAATTAGCTTCTTGGATCTTGATTACTACTAAACAAATTTCTAAATAATATAGATACAAAAACATCTTGGCAAATGTTTTTAATGTCATCGGTGCTAAGAAGGGAAAAGGTATATGATACTTCCCTAGGTAAGAAATCTGTGCCATGACAGATAGGGGCTAAGATGAGCACTGAGTGACTCAAGAGATAAGTGCAGCTCAAAATGAAAGAAATTTATAAGGTACAAATACCATCATCTTCTGTGTGCTTTTTAAAAACTGCGAAGCCAGGCTTGAGCAGAACTTATCTCCCGAGTGGTGACATCATTTTAGGAATAATCATTTCAGGTTTTCTTACATACTCCTGTGTATGTAAGGCCTTACATAATTAGGCCAAATCTTCTAACTAGGTAAACAAAAAACATCAAGATAAATATCCCTTTAAAACACTCACCTTAGAGATACTTTTTTACTCTAAACACATTGCACCTCCTCGACTATCTAGTCATTCTTTTTCTGGCCTCTACTTCCCCTCTTGTGGATCTGCTTGCTGCCTGCTCTTAGGTAAAGCCTGGCCACTTATTTACACAGAATGATTTCTTATGAATAGTTTACAATGCTTACTTTCTTTAAAATGTGCAGATTCAACACCTTTTTTTTTTTAATACACTTTTTTTGATTATTTTTTTTAATACACAGTACACAGACACAACATGCATCAGATTTAGGAGGAGACTTTATACCTGTTGAGGCCCAGTTCCTATCTGCTAAGCTTAGTGGTTGATTTGCTCTTTCCTGTGGGAGTCTTAGTATTTGGGGAATGGTGGAAGGAACTGCCAGACCCTTTAAGACCATTCTTGCTTGGTTTGTTGCAGCAGTGCTCTTGTTGGCAAGATCTCCTAGAAGATGAGGAGCCTGAATGGCTAGGAGGTGATTTACTCCTCCCAAGATGCGGGGATGAACTCCTCTGATCATGATGGGATCTCCCAGCCCGGGACGGAGAAGAACTGGCAGTACGGGGCAAAGAAGAGCTCCTAGGGGAGGCACTGGGACTGCGTCGGGGGATGACAGGGCTCTTGGGTGGTGTTTTTGGACTATGTGGAGATCCTGGACTCTTAGACTGGGTAGAACTCCTTGGTCTTTGAGATCCATTCTGTAGGATTTGAGCCAGACGGGAGATAAGATCTGAGTCCGAGCTGCTACTCCCTAGGACTCTGTATCTGCGTAACCTTAAGAAGAAATGAAGAAAAATTATTTCTGTTTCCATCTATTCAAAGTTCAAATAGAAACACAGTAGCACTAGAAACAAAGGATGAGACTTGCATTGCAGAAGAGACATGTGGAGCTGAACTTTCCTGTAAAGTAGAGGTGTTTGGATCTAGGCTTTGGTTTCTGTGTTGTTCAAATCAGCACAGTATTTATATTTACATAAACTCACTCACATAAACAGCCTCAGCATTTACAGGATAACTGAAATTTCCTGGTGGTGCTGGAAGTAGTGCACTGAAAGCAGTGCTTACCACCTTTTTTTCAGAGAGGTACATCCATTCCTGCACACAATCAGTACACTATTCTACACAATTTTAAGAGATGACACAGCACATCACAACTTCCTTCAAAGGATTTTGCACCACTGTGTCAAAATTCTCCTTGTCCTGGGAATGTAGGTACTGAAGAAACTAGATCGTGGTTGTCTGTATACAGAAGTGGCAAAGACGGTTTGTTCTATTATTCACTCTGCCCTCCTTTAATTAGTTGGTTTTACTTAGCCATGGTCTAAGCATAGCTAATGGACTCAATACTGGTTGCTCCAGACCCAAATACTTAAAATGTCTACATTAAGAACAGATTAATTTTCAAGGGGGCTGGCTACAACAGATCCTATTAAGATTTCTGTGGGTTTGTGAGTAATCGGCAGTTCCATAAAAGTGACCCCTCTAAAAAAATTGTAAAGATTTAGTTATAGATTCTCAGGTTTCAAAATATTCAATACACATCTTGGTGTATAAGGTTTAGCAGTGAAGCAGGGTCATTCTTGTGTAACAACTTCTCCTCATTCAATCTTCAACAATGTGAGATTTCTCAGAGAATTGAAATCCAGCATTTTTTTTTAAAATTAGTTAAAGGATGGAACTTCTACAGGATTACATACGGCACAGTAACTGCAGTCTAGCTCAAATCCATTTCCAACCTAAACCCCTATTTCTATTTTCTCTGCATTACCTAGCTTCTACCCCAGGTCTAGTAGGTGGTTTTCCAGGTGGTGGCCGAGGAAAGAACTGAGCTGAACTTGAACCAGTGACTTGATCAGTGGTTGCCCAGGACACTGGCCTTGGAATCTTGCTTTTTCTGGACTGAGGACTGCTTGGAGATAAAGAGCTATCTTCATTCTGCTTGCTGAAATGAGAGTCCAGTGTCAATCTAGAAAATGAAGCTAAGACATCATCCTCAGAAAATGGTACTGGAGCAGCAGCCATTTTTTCCTCCAGTGACTTGTCAGAGGCACTTGAGAGGTCACCAAGGAAAGATTTGAGCTGTCTCTTTTCCATAAGTAATTTCACCAAGTCTGTCTGATGGGCCTTTTTTAGAAGAAGCTTTTCCTTTGCTGAAACAGAAGAGGAATCTGACATTGAGTCTATCTCTTGTGCTAAAACTGGGATTCGGCTCTGCCTGAATACAAAAGGAGACTTAACTGAGTCCTTCTTGGATCGGTAAGAATTCTCATTTTCTGAAATGCAGTGGAATAACTCTCCATTTCTGGGAGAATTTTTCTCTTTTTTGTTCTCCTGCTGCAAAAAAGTAGTAAGGGCCACTTGGTGGCATTTCAAGTCTTGGCTATGGACTTCTTCCTTATCAGAATGAAAACCATTTTCATGAACAGTTGCTATTTTGTTTGCCTGCTTATTAACATGTGCGTTAGTAATTCTTGAGGGAGACAGTTCTGATGCTTTAGGTGCTACTGACTTCAGACTCTCATCTTGATTTGGCACCAAACAGACGGGCCTTGGCTTTGATTCGTCAGCAGCTTCAGTATTTGTTAGAGGTTCTTCCTCTGCAGATTTTGAGTTTCCTGGCAAAGAAGAATTCTGCTCTTTGCTTAACATTTCAATGGCATCCTCAGAAACCACTGGAAGCCTTTCTTCCTCGGTTTCCTCTACAGGAACATTTTCAAGTTCATTCTCTTCATGTATCCCACTGTGTTGTTCAGGTAGGTCCTTTTGGCCACAGTCCAGGACATCGACACTTTCTTTGACAAGTCCTTCTCTATCAAGCACCTCTTGGTTGATATTAAGTACTAAATCTGGTCTGCTGGCACTAGCTGGAATTTCATCTTCTGTCACAACCACACCTGGCAAACTTTCTTTTGGAGAGGAAAGTTCCACAGTGTGTTCCGCAGACTGACCATCCTGCTCTCTTCTCTCCAGCTGGTGGCCATAGTGAAAGCTCTCTGAAGCAGACTGTGTGGATGCCACTGAAGGCCTGGGTATTGTTATCTGCATTGGAAAATTAAAGAAAAAGATAAGAAACTTGGGAATGGTATACAGCTAACACTTTTTAAATAAAAGAGTGTTGTTTAAATCAAAATGCTTTTGATTCCACATCTTTAAGATACATTACATAATGATTCCTATGAATCACAATGTTCAAATAATACCTAACTTCATAGCACACATGTAGATAATTAGGGGAAAAAAAGTCTATTATCCCATTACAGTAACATGTAATAGGTAAAAATAAACATAACGTCAGTAAAAAGTGCTGCAGTTATGAAGTAAGGCCTCTGGAAATGTGATCCAACCAAACAGGTAGGTTTTTTAATTATTTCACAATAGTTCGAATACTCTTAGAATAAGTTGCATATAAATGTAAAATCTTTAACAAGTACACAACGATATTTTTAGATAAGTACAGAAGGCAAAAACACCGTGATGTTTAGATTCAGAAACTCCATACTCATAATACTTACATTTCTGTCCATAAACAATTTTCTGAGTACCTAAATTTTAGTTATTACTTTCCCTACTGAAGCTTATGCCTAGCTTTAACTAAGCAACCTGGTTAGGATATCTCCTTACCTAACATCATTAAGAGATTCACAAACTAAATATTCACACATCTAAATCCCCTAATGGGTCTAATCCAACAGATACGCACAAAGTGTTCCTAAAGCTTCTATACATTATTGAGTCAGAAACCCTTTAGAAAACAGTTGGTTACGATGAGTGCTGTCTCTAGTACACAATTGTGAGAGCACAGGTCCAGGAAGTGGGAAACCTGCATTCAAGTCTCTCCCCACTTGAGGGACATAACTCCACTTCCCCCAGAGCCCATGAAGCAGGAATGGAGTTGTTCCTCACTTTCCCCATTGAAGACAGGCCACTGCACAGACAGAAATGCAAGAGTCATAAGGTCAGAGTATGAGAGAGCACACACAAAAGGGAGAGGAGTTTTATCTCTGTGGACATGGAAGGAATGCGCTCTCACGTGAAGAGGAGTCCCAGATTCTGGTTTATACATATTGGATGGGGTCATTTGGTATAAAGAGTATAAAAAAAAATCAAGAGGCTACCTTTACATCTTTTTCTACATGGACAGAGAGTTCAGCTCCTTTTTTCTTTCTATTCTTTAGCCTCAAAATTTGACACATTTTGAGTTTGTATTCAACAGAAAGTTGAGTCTGGAAAAACTGGAGTCTGGGTTTGGTTAAAAACACTCTCTTGATTCACTAATGGTAGAACACACAACTGGTGATAGTCTATTTCTAGTGTTGCTAGGATTCTGCTCTGTTAGAAGACATTCCACTTCATTGCAGAAATTATACATGGTACTGAGCTTAATGGGCTTTTGCTGGAGCTAGTACATTGCTACTACTGGGTCGTAGAAACCAAGCTCATCTGTCAGGACCCATGTATTGGGCTTGCATGGCTAGGTTTTGACAGTGGGGGGGCTACAGGGACAGTTTCTATGAGAAGACACTGGAAGCTTTCCCCAGTGTCCAACAGAGCCACGCTGGAGCAGGTGGATGCTGGAAAGAGGGAACTGTGAAACTGTGGGAAACCTGTGCTGGAGCAGGCACCTGGCAGGGACCTGCTGACCCATGGGGAGAAGAACTCACGCTGGAGCAGGTTTTTCCTAGTAGGACTCACAACCCTGTGGGGGATGCACATTGGAGCAGCCTGAAGGACTGCATCCCATGGAAGAGTGACCCACCGTGGAGCAGTTCATGGAGAACTGTTGCCTGTGGGATGGACTCAGGTTAGAGAAGTTCATGAAGGACTATCTCCCATGTGAGGGACCCCACACTGGAGCAGGGGACTCTTCTCCCTGAGCAGCAGCAGGAACAACCTGTGACGAACTGACCATAACCCCCATTCCCCATCTCCTTGCGCCACTGGGGAGGCAGGAGACAGAGCCTGGGAAGGAAGGAGGGGTGAGGGAAGGTGGTTTTAAGATTTATTTTATTTCTCATTATCCTGCTCTGATTCTGTCAGTAATACATTCAATTAATTGAGTCTGTTTTGCCCGTGATGGTATTTGGTGAGTGATCTCTCCCAGATCTTATCTCAAACCATGAACCATTTGTTATATTTCCTCTCCCCTGTCCAGTTGCAGGGAAGAGTGATAAAGTAGCTTTGGTGGATGTATAACAATTTATACTGTGTACTCAAAGCTTACAAATGCAGAACAATTCTCCAAAATAAGAAATGAGAACCGACAGTGAAGGAGATATCCTCAGATCTCCCGTGAGTGTACAATAACTTCATCAATACTCTTACTGATTTCTTATTTTTTTGCATTGTCCTCAAATTTCTGTATAACAAAATTTCCATCATTATAGGTGCATATTTACCACAATAAAACACAAATATTCAACAGATATTATAACAATGCATTAGAAACAAAACATGAAACACGAATCACAGGCATAAAACTGAATTAAAGAGAGAATAATTATTTTTGTTAAACAAATTACTTCTATACTATATAGTGTATTCCAAATCTCTCTAATTCACCTAATTAGATTAATTCACCAGTTTTGGACCCTAACTGAAAAACAGGAAATCATATTTTTTAGAAATTTGGAACGATTAGCTGTTAGGTAACAGAAAGTGATATTTTTCACTAGGGAAGGGGGAAAAAAAATAAAGAGTAGAACTGTAAGATAATTGAATTCTTGTTTCCCTAAGGTATTTGCAGCCCCAAGTTGAGACTGATAGAAATGAAGGGTAGGACCCCAAACTGAAAAAATAAACATTGGGAACTGCAGCAAGAGTCCACTTTTTGTCTCTCTGATGATTTGTTTGCAAGTTTGGGCCAATACAGTCCTCCATGTTCACTGAATTAAAATGGTACATTGAGAAACAATCTGCAGTTAATTAGGTTTGGCAAAACAGTCCTCCTCATCTCCTCTTTATTCTCAGTCCAGGTTCTTTCCTCTGAAAGAAACACTTTTGAGTTTGACAAGTTTTTCTTACTTCAAAAGATTTCTTTTGAAAGAATCCAAGAACATCAGTTCAGCTACAGAAGAAAGAAGTAGATTTTTAAAGCACCTTTCCACGATTAGGTCATTTAGTACTTAAATCTTGAGCGTGAAATGAAAATAGTTTAGCAAGAACCTGCAAACATATAAAACTGAAGAAAAAAAAAACCAAGAAAAAAGGTCTAGGAAACAGGGTAACTGTTCAATAGATATTCATACATCTGTAGGCAGTTGCTCTAAGATATCACATCTCCAAGTTGAAGGACTCATATTGAATGACTTACTTTCATATGACACAGGAAGTTATCTTGGCCTGTCAGACAAAAATCGTTAGCTCTCTTAGAAATTGTAATCTACAAGATGGGTAAAAGTGGGTTCAGGAAATTTTAATGCAATATTGTCCTTGGAATAACAGGTTCAGATTCTGGAGAGATCACTTGGGCCTTTGCTGTCCACTAAGCTCTGTCTTTAGCTTGTTTGAATATCTTGTTCTCCAGGGCTGCAGATGCATCTCAAAAGTAAGGAAATGTAAAATATTTCCTTTTCCAAACTTTTCACTCAACGAGCTAGTCCAGTTGCCAATTCAAAGAACCCAAGATTAAAACATCAGAGTTGTCTTCCACATAACTGAAGAAGGATGACTTCCCTCAGAACAGCATGGTTCTGGTGTCCTCTCAATTTACAGAGGTAAGACAACGTGAGGTATTTGCTTTCAGGAGGATATTTATCTTCTCGGTACATTTCCAGAAGGGCTGCAATTGCATTTGAATCCTCCTTTGCTCAAATACGTTACATGAAAATTCTCTCTTCCTAATGACACCTCTCTCATGTCAATTCTTCACTAGGAAAAATCAGCTCTGATCTGAAATTTATTTACATTTGTCAACAAACTTCATATCCTTTGCCACATTCGGAGAGAGAATTTTCTGGTCTTTCAGGCGCATCTTGGCCATACAGATTTAACACTTACACCCTAGAAACAGGGGAGTGAGCTTGTTGAACCACCTACAATCAAACAGGCAGGAGCTATTTGTGAAAATAGAACACTGAACAAATGGACAAAAGAAGAGGATACTGAATGACTCTTAATAAAGATCCACTACTACTAAGTAATCCATACTTTCAGAAATGGCTTTTTGAACACATATATCACTTTCTTGATTTTTGTTCACTGACAAGTAAGTTTGGTTTCTCAAATGGCTAATAAACCCCTTATTAATCTTCTCAAAGCACAAGAATTAGATTATATCCCTGCTAGGCTTGACATTTCAGGTATATGTGCAAGAATGCTAAATTGGTAACCATGCAAAATTCCCTTTCATGCAAGGGTTGCTAGAACGTCTGGAGCATCTTAAAGAGATAAACAAAAGATCAAGGCCAATTTTCAAAAATCTGTGAATCTGTATGAGAAAACAGAATTTGTACAAAACTGACCCCTGTTAAATCATAGAAGAGGTTGGAAGGGACCTTAAAGATCATCTAGTTCCAATGCCCCTGCCATGGGTAGTGATCCAAAGGCTTTCATTTGGAAGTTTGGATGTAATAGTCAATTATTGAAGAAATGGAAGAAGTTTGTAGATGATCCTCCTAATGTGTCTTTTAAGACTTCTTTGGGTAAAGCATCATATATTTGCAAGGTTGGCCACTACAGATAACTTCATGATTCACATTACACAGTGAAGAATGTAAAGAGACTGGAAGAAGATTTGAATTCCTTAAAACAATTTAATACTAAATCAAATAATCCTGTAACCTTAATTATCCCATAAATAGTCCTACCATTCTCCTTGTTTGTGAAACCTTGAATTAGAAGAGTCTGAGGAGGGTTGATCTTGATACATGCAAAATACACCAATTTAAATAATAATTTAGTCTAAGTCAGGAAGACAGAAATCTCAGGGTTGTTCAAGACATACCTAACTACAAAACAAATAATACATGGACTAATAGGTAAAATTTAAAAACCTATCATAATCATAAATGATCCTCATACTTTCTTTTCTTCTGCCACTA